AAGCTTGTCGATGATGTGGCTTTCGAGGGTTCAGAACCTAATGATGCCAAGAAAGAAAGGCCATATGCAGGACCCCTTCAGATTCTGAAGAACTACAGGAAAAGGTTCAGAAAATTAAATGTTGAAAAGACGGATTTTCCAAGTTACCTGGGGTGCACTTTTATAACTAGCCAGAAATTATCTACTGATGCTATTCTAAAGTTGGCTGCACAAAATTTCATCCGAAGTTCTTCCGAAGGTACTTCTTCTGAATTCTTTGTGCTTAACCATCCTTATGCAAGTTCATTCGTTGGCTTGGGTGAGGAAGACATCAAAGGTGTGCAACTTGTCCAGTATCTTCTAGCTTCAGCTGAATTAGTGGGCAAGAAACAGTTCGAACGTGCAGGTAAGCTCCTCCTTGAATGTGATAAGCTGAGTTCTAATCAAGGAAATGCTATTGAAAGGTTAGTCTACTATTTCTCTGGTGCACTCCACGAGAGAATTGATCGTGAAACTGGAACAGTTACTCCCAAAGGATTGGGGAAGATGCAGTCCCTCGATATGCTAGACACGATGTCAGGCATCACACCAGACATTATTGCGATGCAAAAATCAGTACCCTTTAGTCAGGTTAGCCAATTTGCTGGAGCTCAAGGTATATTAGATCATGTAGCTGATGCAACAAAAATTCATATTGTCGATCTTGAGATAAGGACTGGGATGCAGTACACAATTTTGATGCAAGCTCTAGCGACTAGGAGTCAAAATCCCCTTGAATATCTTAAGGTAACTGCGATAGGAACCAAATCAAAGGCCAAAATTGAGGAGACTGGAAGACGACTCGCAAGCTTTGCCCGGGCTTGGAACTTGAAATTCTCACTTAACATAGTCATGGTTGCAGATATCATGGATCTTAATGAGAACCTGTTTGAGATATATGCTGATGAAGCAGTTGCTGTCTGGGTCGAGTACTACTTGACGTTCATGATTCGCAGGCAAGATATACTGGAATCGTTGATGAATGTTGTCAAAGCTATTAATCCTCGTGTGATGATTGTTACCGAAGTCGAGGGAAACCATAATTCTCCAGTTTTTGTGACCCGCTTCATTGAAGCTCTATTTTACTATGGTGCTTTCTATGATTCCTTGGAAGACTGTCTGAAGCATGACTCAAAGAATAGAATGTTCGTTGAATCAGTATACTTCAGTCAGGCAATAAGGAACATAGTAGCAACTGAAGGAGAGGAAAGGACAATCCGACATGTGGCAGTGAACGTCTGGAAGGCATTTTTTGCTCGTTTTGGGATGGTGCAGGTTGAGTTAAGCATGTCTTCCATGTACCAAGCGAATTTGTTGCTGAAGAATTTTGATTGTGGGAGTTCCTGCACGCTTGCTATGGATGGAAAAGGCCTAATCATCGGGTGGAAGGGAACCCCAATTCATTCACTTTCTGCTTGGAAGTTTCGATAATATTCTAAGAATGCAGTTCTGGACTTTGATATTTTGAATCTGTCATCGTCCTCCTAACTGTCTATCTAAATCTGTAAAATGCATATGCAGGTTTTTTTTCATGTTGCTTGACATAGATACTAAGATTGATGAGTTGATTGTTTTTTTTTGCAAACCAAGCATAAAGTTTTTGTGATTTTGCGTGCAGTCATGTTTGAGTCTTATCTTGAAGTTGCTAATCCTACGGCCTCTGATATTTGAGTGGAATTTAGGAATGATGGTGGTAATGCAAGAGATTCTTTAACATCTTGCTTACTCCAACGGTTTCATCCGTATTTTCATTGTGTTAGATGTACTTCCTGTATAAATGTATAGTGATCGGAATTCATCAAGGTTTTCCCTTTTCTCCAATCTTCAGTGTCCTATGTAGATGCATGCCTCCTTTTCTCTTAGTTATGCAGAAAAGATCCAGCATAACGGTGACTTAAAACTGTACAAACTTCAACTCTACCACAAGGAAAATTAAGGTTGAATGTTCCTGTACAAGGGATCACGCATGAAAGAATCGAGATATCTGCTCTTGATAAGCATGAAAGAGCAATTCTATCCAAATTGTTGTGTTTGTATCCTTGGTTTAGTAAGAACTCTGCTGTGTTCGATGTGCATGTCATTAGAAGCAATCTGTCAGTCCGATGACCAAAGTCTAAAGTGCTTCACTCAATTGCATTCGAAATTGTCTTCAAATGTTTGTAATTTGGTAAGGAAGTTGGCTGATTTACTAAACGCCATTCTAGAGCCGCCTACCACTCGTAGTGGCCAACAAAAGAATAGTACAAATATTTGGGCATGGAACTCGGTGAAAACAAGAACCTACTTTGTTGCAAATATGAAGACTGAAATTCCAGCCATGATCATAATAATGCCAGTCAGAGTTGGAAGTTTTCCAAGAATATGGCTGATTGGAGTGTGAATTGTGTGACTAGTCTGAGTCGGCTCCAATTTGAACATACCATGAATTGCAATCCAATTTAGCCTCTGTATTGCTTGTCTCCTGACTGTGCAAGGTCGGAAAAGAAATTAACTCTTGCAACCTCTTGTAAGGGTATCGACCTGTCAAACTTTGACGTACTTTTTCTTGTTGCTGTGAATAAGAAACTCAGACATAAAATTAAGCAGTTTCTTCGACTTCTTGTGACTGCAATCGATTTTTCCTCAGTCTTCGGAGTGTTTTTAAGGCAATGATTTTCCCTTTTCTTTTAGTTTTAGGTTGAGACAAAACTTTAAAGTATACAGAGTCTGGCAATAGAATCTACAGTTGGAAAAGCAGCACACATCCAGAACATCAGAAATGAACCAAATGCGGCCTGGAATGGTTAGTCTTTCTTATAAAAGAAACTTGCCGCCGTTTAGGGGACAACATTGCTCACAGTAAAGTGGCATACCCTTTCTAACCAATGCACTGGAAATCAGTAAGGAATAAACGAGCACTGCAAAAGTAACAGAAGGAGCAGTTTAATTAGGATTGATAATCAGGTAGTTTAGGATTTGTGACAAATCTCCAACCTTAATTTCCTTAATGCCTAGTGAAACTAGCCAAGCCTAGCGCTTTTTTTTTTTCTGACTTTCATCGTGATGATATGATCTCCAGAAAGATTCTCCTTTGCTGGTCATTGAATAAATTAATCAAGTTCGCGCGGTCGAGTTAATCATAAACTGGCCGAGTCAAAACTTGAGTTTTAACTCACATTGAATGATTTTAAACCCGAGCATGTGTATGTATTTGGGGCTCAAATAACTTGTAGGATCTAATTGAGCCTCACCTCACATGTATGTACATGTAGTTTATTTTTTTTTTTTATTTACTAATATAAAATATCCATTCCATCCCCCCATCTAAAAGATATAAATAAAATGTTTATCCATATTGCTCCAAACGATCATCTCATTCCTACAATTACACGGAGCGTGTGGTAGAATGGTGACACTCTGATTTAACGTGGAGTAGACTTGTGTTATTGATATAAACAATCTTAAAGACATTTTATACGATTTAAGGTTGTAGCATTCTTTTGTTCAAATATTCTTTCGACTTAAGCAAAAAGCCAATGGCCGAAGGAACAATTTTTGAGAAGGAATTTTGTTCAACGGATTGTCCGTTTGCGGGGCAAAAGATGCTCAAGATGACGGCCAATGTCCACGGAGCACAGAGGATTGAAAGGCTGGCTATGTTAAGATAGGATTTTGGTTGTCCCAGTTGTTTGAGACGTATTCTCCAAAGTTCAGAGATGAGACGCAGAGATTGTCGATTTCTGTTGTCGGCAGAAGAGGCCATCATCCAACACTAGGGTCTGGACTTTGGTAAGTTCCAGGTAGATTTTGAACCTTGGTAATGGTGGGCATCTTCAGTCATTGAATCAAATTTTCTTGTCACCCTTGGCAAATAATGTGTTAGCCCAGATGGTTTCACCTGGGCATCAAGTTTTTTCAACAAATCTCTTGATAAGCCCAGTTGCAGATATAAATGGGGCAACTAGTCTAAGCCAAGCAGGTTTAAACAAAATTTTCTGTTCATTTTCCTGCGGATGCTTTTCATTTCTTTTGGAGTGAAATTTAACATAATCGACGGTTGATTAGATTATTTGATTACCTTCTGTGTATGTGACGATAGTCCCTAAGATAATTTGCTAATGGCTCCAGAAAGACTAAATAAGTGTAATAAGCAATTCGCATCGCTAAAGCTTCTACTTTAGTTGTTGATCAATACATGTAGTGCTTGCTGTCATATGGACTAGTCTTGGATTCTGATTCGACTTTGAAACCTTAGCATTTCCGTTTGGCTTAAACCTTCTGATTCGACTTTGAAACTTCAGGCTAACCACTCTTTTTTTGTGGCTTAAACACATTTCACCTTATAGTAATACCAAACAACGGAAAAGAATGGCAGAACCAAAAAGGGAACAATTGTTTGCCTCAACTAGAACCTAAGATTTTGCAACACTACTTAAATTTCTCACTATTTCAATTGAATGAATGCATACTCTTTGCGGTCTTAGCAATTACCAACCTGCAGAAATTACAAACAGATCACTCTCAGCTGTTATTTTCCAAAGCGAGGACAAGATTTGATGTCTGTCCTTAGCATCCTTAGAAATGAATTTTGAAGCTATTAATTCAGCTTAATCATTGTCAACCACTATTATCTAAACCAAAGATACTAGCTTTGACGTTTGCTCCGTAGAAAACAAGAGCGTAATATCAACGACTACGGCCCAGTAATCATATCACTATCTCAGCTTAGTTAAGTCGTCTGAAGCTACTTTTATCCCTTTTTGTTTCTTTTATCTGTTTCTATCTGACTGACTTATTAACTGAGCCGGATGATCTCATTATTGCAGCTGAATTAAAATAAAGGGTCACCTTGTGGAAGTAACTCGAAGGTTTTAACAATTAACTTTGCCCTATGTGAAATGTAAATGTTAAAATTCTATAAATAGAAGATTAGTGGATTATCTACTTGATCATTAAAAGCCGATTTTTTTGGTAGTAAAGCTCTCAAAGTTGAGAACATTGAGATGTCCTACAAGATGTTCTCTCTTGAGAAACTTGATCTTGGTGGATTTCCTGATAATTTTGCTCCTTCTAAAGGTACAAAGGTTGCTGGAGAAGGAAATGCAAAGAAACGAACTCGAACTCGTTCCTTAGGAGGTGAAAACGGTGGAGAATCAGAGGAGATCACTTCACTTTATTCTGGCCTCAGCTTCGACAACCAGAAGGATAATACAGCTGAGGAAAGAATTTCCTCGTCCAAGTATCAGCACGAACTGCAACTGCAGCAGTTTGTGGACTTTGGAGGTTTGGATAATCTGTACTTTGATGTAGTCTCTCCACCATTTCAATCATGTTCTGAGGAGATAAGAAAACTATTTAATACCAAGCCTGGAAATCCAGAGTTTGTTGAATCCTGCAAGGAGAAGCCACATGCAACCTCTCTGGAGATTCTGAAGAACTATGGAAGTAGGCTGCGAAGACTGAATGGTGAAAAGATAAACATATCCCACTTTGACGTTGCAAGCACTGGGATAAGCAAGAAAAAGCTATCAACTCTTGCAATTTTGCTCTTAGCTGGAGAAAATTTCATTCATACATCTAATTCCACAGCAAAGAGTGAACTCTCCACTCTTAGTCACCCATATGCCAGTTCATTTCTTGGCCTCTCTGAGGAAGACACTAAAGATGTACAACTTGTCCAGCATCTTCTAGCTGCTGCTGAGAAAGTAGGTGAGAAGCAATTTCATCGAGCAGGAAAACTCCTGAAGGAGTGTAAAAAGCCAAGCTTTGACAAAGGAAACCCTGTTCAGCGTCTAGTTCACTATTTTTCTGGAGCTCTTCATGAGCGAATTGATAGAGAAACTGGAAGATCTAGATCTCAGGGTACTGGGAGGATGCTCACAAAGTATGTTGAAAATGCTTTAGCTACGATCAACTCCACTGTCCTAGCATTCCAAAAAGCAGTACCTTTCTCTTATGTTAGCCAATTTGCTGGAATTCAAGCCATCATAGAACAGGTTGAAGATGCGAGAAAGGTCCACATCATTGACCTCCAGGTCAGGCTGGGAACACAGTACACCATGTTAATACAAGCTCTTGCAGCTGGATCTGAATGTCCTGTTGAGCATCTCAAGATAACTGCTGTTGCAACTAGTTGCAGGGAAGCGATAGAGGCAACAGGTAGGCGATTAGTAAGCTTTGCCGAATCCTTTAGCTTGCCTCTCTCCTTTAGTATAGTGATGTTAGATGATATTTTAGACCTTCATGGAAATGTCTTTGAGCTTGATGATGAGGAAGCTGTTGCAGTCTATTCAGAATACTTTTTTATGATGATGATTGGATCTCCAGACAGGCTGGAATCTTTGATGGGAGTCATCCGAAATCTTAATCCTCGTGTATTTGTTATTACTGAAGTCGAAGCAAATCACAATGCCCCAGTATTTGTGAACCGCTTCACTGAAGCTCTCTTTTATTATGGTGCATTTTTTGATGCCTTTGAAGATTGTCTAAAGGATGACGAAGCAAATAGAATGGTCCTGGAATCAATCTACTTCAGTAAGGGAATAAAAAATATTGTGTCAGCCGAGGGGGAGGAAAGGACAATAAGACATGTGAAAATCAATGTCTGGAGGGAGTTTTTTGCACGGTTTGGGATGGTTGAAGTAGAATTAAGCATGTCATCCATGTATCAAGCAAATTTGCTTCTTAAGAACTTTGCTTGTGGTAATTCTTGTACACTTGATGTGGATGGGAAAGCTCTAATTGTTGGGTGGAAAGGAACACCAACCAATTCTCTTTCTGCTTGGATTTTTGAATAAGATTCGATTACAGAAGGCTAAAAACTCTAATGAAGAGTGTAGTCTATCTTTAGTGCTTTGTTATCATTGCCCAATTGTTGGGGTGCATTTGCTTATTTTGTTAGTAGAATAATTTCTTCCCTAGTTGTTAATTCCTTGCTGTCTCTAGTCACTACAAACTAGTTACCTAAAAATGTATAATTTTACTTTTTACTGTCACTGTTTAGGGTCGTGTCTGATCTCGCAGAAACTCACTTTATGCTTGAACTGGTTAGATATCGACGTAAGAATGACTTTATGGACCATAAGTTACACTATTTTGGTGTGGAAAAAAGTTTGGCAAGTGAATAAATCTTTTCCTTTCTGAGCCTGTCCCTCCATTATATATGTGTGTGTGTGGGTTGTACATTGCTTGTGTAGCTCTAACAACAAAGTCTTTTATATATGTTCCTTTTCTGCCTTGCTATGGATACTTGACAGACATCATGACCAGCTTGCCGGCTTTGCGCCAGCAGTTTGATATATACACTTCATCTGTCTTAGGGCCTACTGAACATTAAGCTGAAGGAAAGTTGGCAAGTTTGTTACCCCAAAAAAAAAGAAGGAAATTTGTTTGAATTCCCATGACTTCGATTCAAGTCATAGTCCAGAAAATGAAGGCCCAACTAAAAGAAACCGAAAGCCAAAACGGTGTTGCTATAAACAGAAAATGCAAGTGTAATAGTCAAACCAGAAGTGTTCCCCACTTGAATGCACCGATTTCTTGAACTGCTTTGGTGAAGCACTCTGTCTCAGCGAGTTGATGGATTGTGGGAAAGGCAAGCATAGAGCACCAAATTATGTATAGAAAATGAGTGAAGAAGACATCCTCGAGGGGCGGATCTGAAACGTTGTCATAGCTAAGGGTACTAAGAGGATTCATCTGAGATGAAGAGTTTGCTTTCAGGAGGACCCTTTTTACAAGGTTTGGGATAATGGAAATAGAGTTCAGCAGGACATCATTGTGTCAAGCCACCCGCCTGCTTAATAGGTCAGCATGCTTTAGTTCTTGCATAATGGATATGGACGGGAAAATTTCTGGTCTTGGGTTGGAAAGGGACCCCATATGTCTCTTTCTGCCTGGACGAGTATTGTTAGACAAGCTCTGCCGGATTCAAATTTATGGCTTATTTTCACAGATGATAGTTGCTAATGCTGTGGGAACTGGAACCAGTTCTTATGATATCAAATTTGCAAGACGAAGTGTTGGAAATTGAAGACAAGAGTAAGTTCGGGTTACCTCACTCCGAAGCTTTGATCGCAGCAGATTTTTCAACTTCAACATTCAAGCTGAATCACGTGCTCTTGATCGGGTGTGAATCACAGTGAAAATCACACACTTTCCACAACCCAAATCGTAGGCTATATTTTTAGTTCTTCTATTTTGTAGAGGAGGAGAAAAAATTGGAAGAAGGTTTTGTCGGTCTCTGTTTCTTTCTTCCTTTTTCACTGGGGCGGTGGAAAAGATTACCGGTACACTCATTTTCCTTTCTTTTTGTTTTATTTCTACTTTCAGGTAGAAAATTAGTAGAACAATCCATCATGGTAAGACAACTCATCATGGCCGTCCACCTATTTTTCTCACACGAAGAATAAAATTGCAATGTTTACTAAAACAATATGAGAGTTAGATGGATAATGGCTGTATGGTACAAGACTCAAAATGAAAATTAATGCCGATTACTTGCAACATGTTATTCTGCTAGATTTACTAAATTCACTAGGAAAAAGCTACTGATTTCATTTGTTTAAACTTGCGACATTTTTTTTTTCCAGTGAAAACAAAGAGTACTTCATATTTCATTCATGATACTCGCTTTATCGTCTAGAAAAAGGCAAAAAAGTATGCGTTCAAGACCAAAGATATAAAAAAGAGCTGCGACTCTAGGGGACGAATTTCCACCTATAGATACCAACCAGGTAGTTCCAAATGATCAAATACAACAAGAACCCCTAGTTTAATAGGTCCGTCAGCATACAAGCATCCAACTGCAAATGCCAAGTCAAAATAGTAACCATCGATACAGTATATCAGTTGCATGAGAGATTTGCAATCTCTGAACTGTCCAAAGGTAATTGTAAATTTGTAATCGATATTCTTTTCAAGAGTTGGTCCACAGGAAGGGAATGTTAAACAACAGGCGTAATCACATTTTTCATGATTTTCGACTGCTCCATGCAGAAAAATGACCTGTTGACTAATCCTGTACAAGTAGTCCTGCAGTTTGTCTCGGAACGGTATTCTCTTCTGATTATTGCTCAAGTCATTGGGATAATCCAAACTATATGTCGTATCTTGAGAACATGTGTGCTCCACGGTAGCCGAGTCAACGGGGCAAAAGTAATACTAAAATTTTTTACCTACTCTTTTCCTAGTTTTTTAAGCAAAAAAAAATATTTAATTAACAAGTTGAAATGAAAAACCTTTTTTTAGCTTACTTTAAATGAAATTTTGTGGCATACATATTTTTTTAGAATATTAGTTCATGAACCAACTTAGAGAACTATATAATTCTTTCATTTTCTTCATAAAAAACTCTGGAATCACATTTAAAATTAAATCAAAAATTTTAGAGGTATTATAGAAATTTAAGGGACCGTGGAGGCCGTGCCCCCACCTTAAATACGCCACTGGTGCCCCGCGAGCTGATGATTGCCTTTGTCTGGACCGAAGTCTTCTTCGGTGCGTGGTGCGGTATGCAAAGACAATCCCAATAGGCAAGAAAACAGGCAGTGCACTTGCTGTGTCGGAGATCGATCCATCTGTCAAGAAGACGTTTTTACAAATAATTCTTTTATTGGATTTTCCGCTTGAGCTGAGGAATCGAAAGACTGCTGACTGCATTTCTTAAAAAAATAAAAAAAGAAGACATGCTTTGTTCTGTGGTTATTTAAGCAGCTTCCCTCAAGCCCCCATTTTGTGTTTCAGCAAAGAGACTGGAAAGACATGGATTCTGGTCCAGCGAATGTCAGCAACTCACAAACCATCTCTTATGTTGCTGATACAGAGAGGGAAATCCCGCAAATTCCTTTAAATCCTTTAGAACTTCTGAATCAGTATGCTCCAAAGGTGAAGCGTCTGAGAGTGGAAGATTCCAGTGAGAAAAAATCTGATCCTCCACCTAATCCTGCTAGTTCTGGTCACGGTCAAGCAATCCCAGCTGCCAGCATCATCAAGATGGCAAAAGCTCGACTCCTTCAGTTAAATTCCCAAAAGGCCGATATTGTTTCCTACGCTTCGACTTCTTTTGGTGCTCAATGTGGGCTCCCTTCTGCTGCTGCTGAAGACTTCGAGCTTGCACTGCGACTTCTAGCTGCTGCTGAAAAGGTGGCCAAGCAACAGTTTGTTTATGCAAGAAAGCTGCTCAGCTTGTGCGAAAGCAGCGTTTCTCAAAGCGGTAATCCTATTCAAAGAGTTGCTTACTATTTTGCTGATGCTCTGCAAGAAAAGATTGATAAAGAGTGGGGACTAGTTTCATCCGAAGAAATGGAAAGAATAAGAAAGGGGCCAACTGATGTGGAGCAAACCATGATTAGATTGCGACCCGAAATGACGAGATGTCAACAAGAAATCCCTTTTTGTCTATACACTCAATTCACTGCAATTCAATCCATTCTGGATTGCGTGGCATCGGCAAAAAGGGTTCATCTAATAGATTTTGGAATTGATAATGGCTCACACTGGACATTGATCATGCAAGCATTTTCTGTCAGATTCGAATGCCCTCTCGAACATCTCAAGATTACAGCAGTTGGGGCCTCTAAGCAGATGATGGAAGACACAGGTAAGTGGCTATCCTCTTTCGCCGAGACCATCAGTTTACCGTTTTCATTCAGCATTATTGTATCAGAGATGGAGGATCTCAAGGAAGGTCGGTTTGGATTAGAAGCTGACGACACTCTGGCAGTTTACTTGGGGTTGCGACTTTGGACTCTGTTACCGTGGCCTAATCAATTGGACAAGTTTATCAAATTGATTAGAAACCTCAACCCCCGTCTAATTGTAGTTAACGAAATGGAAGCGAGCATAAATTCACCAGACTTCCTTAAACGATTTAACGAATCAATTCATGTTTTTAGTGCAATTTTTGATTGCATCAATTCTTGCATGTACCACAGAGTCATGTTCAGGAAGCTGAATGAAGAAGTTATCTTTCCTGGGATGATCCGAAACATTGTCATAGCTGAGGGTATTGAGTGGATTCAGAGGTATGAAAAGATAAGTTTCTGGAGGGCCCTTTTCGGAAAGTTTGGCATTGTGGAAACAGGCATGAGCCGGCCTCCGCCAGATCAAGAAATCTTGTTCCTCAGAAGTTCAGACCGGTTGACTTCTTGCACCGTGGAATTGGACGGGAAATGTCTGCTCCTGGGGTGGAAGGGTTCAGCAATTCAGTCTGTTTCTGCCTGGAAGATCAAGCAGGACGACTGAAAAGAATCAATAATGCCTCCTTGATTAGGAGTTGGAATTGACATCATAATCTCAACAGTTTTTACAATTGCCAGTACGATGTATTGTACCACTTCTGTGTTGTACGTTTTTCTTTTCCTTCACTTCTCAATACTGCGTCATGCAATTCACAGTACTATTTTTTCACTTTTCAATGTTGTGTCATGGAATTGACTCTTTTTCCCCCCCTAGCTAGTGGTAAGAAGGACGGAAAAAGGAGAGGATGAATTTGTTTGGATTGGCTTGATTTCAAATAAAAAAATTTATTTCACAAATTTCAATCATCTTTTTATTATTTCAATTATCTTTTTATCTAACATACATCACATCATAAAAAATTATTACAGTAATTATCTCAAATAAATCATCCAAATAAACTCTTATCTAAACAAACTCGATATATTCCTAGCCGTTTTGTACTTTGGTTATATGAAAATGGGCTATATACGTAACTAGTTTTTAAACCAATGATGAAAAACAAACAAGAGAGCTGAAATACGAAATAGCCCAAGAAATTAACAAAAAACTTTCAATTGATTTGACACAAGTTTTACTTAAAAAAAAAATAAAAGTTATCAAGCAACATCGACAAGACTAATTACTCAGAATATTGATGAAAAAATAAAAAATCGGACATATATGATTCTGACAATGGGCATGCATAACGCTATTGCTACAGCCCAACAGTAAAAGAGGGCCCGGCAGCAGGAGTCTAATTTTTTTTTTTAAAACGTTGCTGGGCCTTGTTAGCCTGGCAGCCAAAAAATTTTTTTTTTTTCAAACCTTAAAAAAGGGGGTTACTGATACGGCAAAAGGGTTCAATTTCATCCGAATCATGACGGACTCAGAGAGATTTTGAAGTTAAAAGGGCCTAAATTTGTTGGAGAAGTCCTCCATGATTTTCCCGGCTATAAGATTTATGGAAAAGGTCAGCTTTCTTCACCCTTGTTTGATCATGAGGAGCTTCCTGGTGGGCAATTTTATTATCTCCTTCCTCTTGGTGGAGAAAAGGCTTCTCAGGTTGGTGATGGTTATGAACATCCCACTTTTTTATCATGGACTGACACTAAGAGTTGCAGGGGAAAAGGACATATTGTAGGATACAAATTCCAACCGTAAATATTTTAGAGTCTGGAGCCTTGTACCGAAAATTTCTTAATCCGAGCCTAGGCCCTAATAATTCTAGAAGCACATCACTAAGCACAGCGCAAGCAAAATTTAAAAAACAGTACTAATTTTTTTTTTTTTAAAAAATCATTCAAAATATTTTTCACATTTTATAAAATAATTTTTTTCATTCCTTACTCTTAAAAATGTAATATTACGTCTTTGTAAATTCACATTGATTAAATTTTATCTCCACCTAAACCTCTGATTAATTTTTGATCGGAATTCATCAAATTATATTTTAGGGACAAAATTATCAAATCATATTTTTTCACAATTCACAAAAGATAAACCTTTTTTGTTTTAATTTCAACAAGTTGATATCGCCGGAGGCAATTTTTGGGCTTTGCATGTTTAACACGTGGCAGCAGTGCAAAAGTCCACTTGTATCTGAGGTCGTAGGCATCTTTTCCAAGAACGGTCCATTCCAAGTCTACTAGTTAGTAGTTATTCGGTCGGTCAACCCAAGGGGAGAACTATGCAAAATTGTTTTCAACCTTGACGAAAGAAATGGAAAGGAAGGATGAAGCAGAAGAAGCTAAAAGCAAAGTTTCTGTGATCGAAACATGGCTGAGAAAGCACCGTTTGCTCTACGTTGGAGCCACCAGACACCCTTTTATCCATAGCATTCGAGATGGCTCTGTAGATGTCTCTTCATTCAAGAGATGGCTGGTAAACTCATGGACTCGTGAATTTTTTTTTCCCGTTATTTGTTTCCTTTGTGTTTCTTCAATTGATCCTTATGTTCTAAATATTCCATTCTTGGTTTCTATGAATCGGCTTTCTGTTGCCTTCCAATATATGTTCAGCTATGTTAAATCTCCCAATTCATTTTCTTCCATCCTCCCTATATGTGTAAATTAAATTCTATGTCGAAGCCCCTCTTTTGTCTTATCTGGAGAATTATTGCTATTTCTCTTTGGTCCATTTTAGCGAAATCGTTCAGTTTTGTTTTGAATGTAAAAGAGGCACTAGACATGACAACTGAAGTTTTTGTGGTTTGCCACAAGCCCATCTTTTATGGAATACCATCTGTCTTTCTGTTTTTGTTTTATGATGGCCGGCCATCTATTTAAAGATGCTAAATTTACTGTCTTTTTGTCGTGGGTTGGAGAAAATTTAAATGTATTAGTGTGAGATTTGGGATTTTGCAGAAAAGCTAGTAACTTGGAAAGAAAGGAGGGAATTAGATAGCAGTTAGGACTCTCTGCGACAAGTATGTGTACCATTCACTGCATTTGCCTTTTCATATTTCAGTGCTTGTATATGGGAAATAATCAACTTTAATCTGGAAATATAGAAATTAAGAAATAAAGGAATAAGCAATAAAATATGGTTATAATTTGCTTGCTTTTGTATCTAGTCACGCTAAAACCATGTTTATAGCAGTACATCATAAAGGCAGTAATATAGTCAAGAACTACATTGCAGGAGCAAGACTACATATTTGTTAGAGCATTTGTCCCTTTTGTTGCGACTGTCTTGCTTAAGGCCTGGAAGGAGTCCTTTGATGCCACTGATATGGACGTCATTTTGAGTGGTATGGCTTCTCTCAATGATGAATTTGCTTGGTTCAACAAAGAGGCTTCAAAGTGGGGTGTTTCACTCACAAATGTTGCTCCTCAGAAGGCAAACCTTGATTACTGCAGGTACGCTGTCTTGTTATGGATAAAGTTTCACTAAGTGTCTACAAGTAACCTTTTCCTGCTAAGAGTTGATCAGCATATCATGAAAAGCAATTTCATGTCATGTCCTTGGGAAATAAAAAAATAATTTTCTGCTTGTGTTAATAGAAAAGGGCGTTAAGGTTTACAATGGCAATGAGAATGTCTTCAGAGCCCAATTTCTTTAGCATGCTGTTTGTTTTAGTTTCTGTAACTTATGTACGATTCATCTTTTTTCCAATCAAAAGTTACCAGGTTGTGCTAATCCTTAGAATTTCAAGTCATTAGTCATATTGTGTTGAAGCTTTTCTGGATAGAACCACAACTTTGCTGGGACTACTGGAGCATCAGTAATAGGCCTTTTGCATATGCTAATATACATTGTTTAGCTCATTACCTTCATATTGCACGAAAGTTTACGAATCCCATTGCTTTAATGTCAAAGAATGATTGTCTCTTGTATGTAAAAATTTCCCTTTATCATGGTAATCTTGCAGTTTCTTGTTTGGCTGGCAACCCACTTTATTTACATATGCTGAAAGAATAGTGCTTTCCAAGCTGAGCACCATTTTTTAATCAGTTATGTAAAATGGGAAAGTGTTAGTTTATCTTTTTGTTATTCAAGCCCGAAATCTTCAGCCTTAAGAGAGGAGATATCATGTCATGAATCAGAGACTTTCAAAGTGATGGTAACTCTTCACCTTTGGGTACAGATTTCTGGAAAGTCTAATGAGCTCTGAAGTTGAATACACCGTGGCTATTACAGCTTTTTGGGCTATTGAAACTGTTTATCAAGACAGCTTTGCACACTGCCTGGAAGATGGTTCGAATACTCCAGAAGAATTAAGAGATACCTGCCAGAGATGGGGGAATGATGGCTTTGGTCAATATTGCCATGCGCTCCAAAGCATAGCCGAGCATCATCTAGAGAAGGCATCTGATGATGTTCGTAAAAGAACTGAGGCAGCAGTGCTAGATGTTCTTGAATATGAAGTTGCCTTTTGGAACATGAGCCAAGGGGATACCTGAATGCTTTGGGTTGATATCTCTCCCAGTGCCTGGGCATGTTAGACAATGTGGGTGATGCACCTTTGAGTGACTCTAGCAGGATTGTGTGTATTAACGTTTAATAAATTGCCTAGAGTTTGATTTTCTACATTAACGTCTAATAAATTGCCCAGAGTTTGATTTTCTACACATCTTGATTTCAGTATCCTCCAGTATCTGTAGAACTAAGTCTGCGCATTGTCATTTTCTGCTGCTATCCATCTAAAGATGACTGTTATCCAAGTTAGGAGGGCTTCTGCCTCTGATTAGTGATGCAAATTAATTCCTTTCTTCCAACATCGAACCAGCCATTGCATTTAGAAAGAATATCTACACCGCTCAACTTCGGCTGCACAGAACTTTGGCAAGATTTGATATGGTCAACCTGCTCTGTTGTGAAATAATAACCTCTTGTTCCACGGTGAGAACTCCCAATGCTAAAAATTGCTGGAGTTTTTTTTTTATTTTATTACTTTAATCCCGATTGCTTCTTTCTTGCATATGTTGCATCAGAGTTTAGCCCATAAACGACTTTGTGTAATTGGGAGGTGGTGATAACTGATAAAAGTCCCAGTAAAGATTCAAGGCAGCAGGGATGGCATGGTGGTTGACTATGGGACATGCCTCTTGGAAAACCTATTCATGATGGATCTGAAAACTCTCCGTCCCCCCCCCCCCCCTTTTTTTTTTCACTGCCTTGATCCCTGCTGATTCCAGAAGAGATCATGAGCAATATTAGGATTCTGTACTGCTGAAGTAGGATTCGAAGAAATCCAGTTAATCGCTTGTACTTTATGCGCATCTATTGGAAAACACGCTCGAACGTGGTTCTATCGGCTCAACCCTGATATCTGGCATTTTTCACTTCTTCAATGCAAGTCAAAAGGCAATGGCCCCTTGATATTGATCATGTTTAGCCTGCAGGAAACAAAATTTGTTGCCCTCCCATGCAGTCAAACAACAGCGATGTACAAAAGAAAAGAGCACCATGCCAATTGGACAGATTTGGATTGCCAATTATTTCACCTTATTTACACGCACTGATATGCTTGCATTATTAACACATTTTTCAATCACTTTTTTATTTCACATACATCATATCAAAAAAGTGCTACAGTACTTTTTCATAAAATTATCTCAAATAATTTACAACCCAAACGCAAACACTATTTCCATTTTAGTTCCAACGGTTAAGTGAACTTAATTTGTCATGTCTACCATTTTCTTCCCCTTATGTTTTACTTTACTACTATTTCTTTTCAGCTATTTTAGGACAAAAGACTGTAGACAGATAGATTATGGCTTTTTAAATTTTTTTTATTTTAGGAACCGAACTTATAAAAGCTAAGGCTCCCCTTAACAGGTAATTCCTACTTCAATCTACACGATCTTTAAAATACGTTAGAATTTAATTTATATTACCACAACAAGGTCTTTGTATGCCTGCTGGCCAAAAAAAAAAAAAAAGGAAATAAATAAACAGAAAAGTTCCAGCAGAGGATGAATATATATCTTTGATTTATCCTCGGTAATAAATACGTAACATTTGACCATTAAAAGTCAAACAAATTAAAAAAAAAAATCTCCACAAAAGGTACACAATAGCCAAGACAGCAACAGATTTGATGTGACTTTTGCCTTTTTATTCGTTCGAGATTTACCATATTAAGAAAACAGAGGTACTCCTTCGACCTCAAAATGGAAAATGGGAAGTCCATGCAAGGTACAACTTGAATATACCGGCCTTGGTATTCTTCCCCTCTCAAGCACCCGCCTTTATCCAAATACTCCCTCCGTCCCACTTTGACAGTCCTGTTTCTTTTTTCACACAGTTTAAGAAAAAGTAGTTAACTTTGTTGGAAAAGTAAATTTAGATTGCTATTTTTCTAAAATACCCTCACATTAAATAGAGTACAACTTTATGGGAACTTGAATTGATGGTAAAAAAAGAATCAACTCTCATTAAATGGGGTAGGTTCATAGCAACAACAACTTGTATTGAATAAGGGTATTTTAGGAAAATGAAAATAAAACTACATTCTTCAATTGGAAAGTGGACTGCAATTTGGGACAGACAAAAAAGGAAAACAGGACTATCAAAGTGGGACAGAGGGAGTAATATTTACCCTTACAGACTGTGATGGAACATCATGGACTGATTTTTCAATTAATCAAATTAATTTCAAAAAAAATTATCAGTGCTAAATTTTTAAATTGACTAAATTATGTAGAAAATATAGAACATTGCATTTAAAAAAAATAATAATACTAAAAGCTAATCAAAACTGAGCTCCAATTAAAAGATAATTTTAACTTAGCTCCAGTAATCATCGAATTGGAGTACAATTTTAGTCTTATATATAAGAAGAAAAAGTCATCTGGAATTTGAAAATCATATAGCCTTGGTCCTTTTGGTCGTTTCTTTACAGAGTAAAAGATTTTTCCTCTCCTAAAAAAATAAGAAGGCATCTTTTCGGTGGGCCTTTATAGATTCATACAAAACGACGCCGCTTGCTCTCCCCCGCACTCTCTCTCTCTCTCTCTCTCTCTCCTCTCTTCTCCTTGTCTCTATACAACTCTCTTCGTCATCAAACTACAGACCTTCAATACAACATAGACACAGAGCTCCCTCCAAATATATCTAAAAAATTAATTATAAATTGTAAAAAAGGAAATAATTTCCTCCTCTTTACTCCATATTTTTTCTCAAAATTCTTATTTGTCATAGTTATTTGTGAAATTGTTCAGACCTATTTTTTTGTGGATCCCTTTTCTCGGTTTTACCTCAGTTTCACTCAACTTGCAGAATACCTTACCGTTTTGTTGACAGACAAACTCCATTGCTGTTAAAATTCAAAATTTCGGACTCTGGAAATTCAAATTGTCGCTGGGACTTTTACTTGAGCTTTTTTCTTGCAAATGGTAGATCTTAAATTGGGAATTTTTTAGTGTTCTGAAATTTGTATGTGATTGTTTTCTGTGGCGGTTTGAACTTTTGAAAAGTTGAACTCTTTGGCTCTGTTTGTTTATTTATTTTGTTTATTTTGATGGTACAGTGAAACTCTTATGGCCTATGGTCGGTCAGGGTTTTGGCAGAACCTCGTGGCCAAATTTCGGGTTTTTGGCGATTGCCCTTTTAGTTAACAACCTTAAAGCCTTTAGAAAGGTCAGTTTTTATTGATTTTTGGCTTTATTTTTGAAGCGTTGTGCTTATTTTGTACGTCCCGCTGAAAAATTGTTTTTCATTTGGGCATAGCTCGACTACAGAGCATATCAGGATGTGGTTAGAGGGTTTTTTTTTTTTTTTGCTCAATTCTGTTTCAATTATAATTGCTCCTTGATAATGTGTATTGCCTTTGTCTGAAGTGGAGAGTTATGAATGTCAGTTCATGAATTTAGGGTTTAAATTGTAGGGTGACCTTTTTTCGTTGTTCTTAATTTTTTTGAGAAAGCTTACTGCATTGGGAACTCAAATTAATATGGCTGCACAGTAGGGAAAAATGCAAGAATGTAAAAATTGATAGTTAGGCCTATAAATTCTCCATTAGCAAATTTCTGGGGTTTCTTTCAGATCTTTATTTTTCTGAACATTCTCTCTTACATTCTTCAGTTGCTGAGATTGAAAATTGTAGTACGTCGGTAATGTGTATTGAAATGGTTGAATGATGTTTAACAAATTTTAATGCCGACATTAGGAATCTTTATTTGTGGAGTGATATTGTCAGTGAAAGAGTGCAATGTTTTATGGTCAGTGTCAAAGAATAGGTGAAGTTTTGCAGAAACACACTCAGAGGTCCTTTGGATGTACTTTCCATGAAATGCTTCCCAAATCAATGGGCTTCAAGTTTTAAATCTTTCAAGAACTAATGCCGAAATAACTAACCACGACAAATAGGGCTTGGGAAGACATGGAGGATGCAACAGAGGGTAGATGTTATTGGTCACTATGTGGAGGATTTATGCTCCATGAAAAGTGGTCTTGCACAATGAAACAAGTGTGTTGATCATGCACAACATTGGAAAGATAGAGTGTGTTAATTGTTCTCTCAGCTTTGTTGGCTTGCATGGCTGATGTAATGTAGGCAGAAGAATTTTGAATTTTGGTTGCTATTTGGGAAGCATGGAAATGTATGGATTGAGAGTTTAAACTGTTGATTTGATAGATGATTGAGAGGTTGGCAGAGGCAGATTTCATCAGATATGGCAAAATTGCATCTAACTGGAGCTACTCATTCTCTGTGTTTTTTCCCTACCAAATATTTTGTTGGCTAGAATTTAGCAATCCAGAGATTCTGTTTGGGATTGAAAAGGAGAAGGAAGTATTATGTGGTTTTTCAGAAGACACGAAATCATTTTTTAAGAAGAAAAGCTTTGGGGATCAGTAACATTCATAGAGCGGGTGCAGCTTTGTCAACCAAATGGATGCGGAGGGTTTTCTGATCACTCTGAAGTGATAGGGTTTTCTGATAAACAATTGTTTCAAAGTTTTTCTCTCTTGTTTTGAAATTTATTGTAGAAATAATGGCTTTGTTTTATTTTGTGTCCACTTTGTTTGATGGGATGCTCCTAGGCTAACCTATCTTGACCGCATATTGGATTTTAATGCATGATTGTTGCTTAACAGGATACATGGCTCTTCAGAAATACGTCCCAGGTGGTGATGCGCCTTTGGTGATTAAGAAGTCATTGAGTTTTTCCAGCAAAGCAAATGTAAAAGCTCAATCTGGAGATTCACAAACACGAACAACAGAAGCTGATGTAGATGTTGACTTCAGGGAGATCTATTTTTTGATCATGCATTTTCTATCAGCTGGACCTTGTCAGAGGACTTGTGGGCAGCTCTGGAATGAACTTCTGGAGCACCAACTTTTACCTAGAAGATATCATGCATGGTATTCTAGGAATGGAGCGCATAGTGGAGATGCAGATGATGATGGATTGTCTTTCCCTTTGAGTTATATTAAGTTGGTGGAGAGGTGATCTATATATATTCTATTGCCCTATGATAATGTGTTCATCCACTTTTTTTGTAAAAGAAAAGAAATAGTAGAAGTTGCATGTTTGGGTTGATTAAGTTTCACCATGGGTCTGAATTTTATTTTGAGGCACTAATGGATGATAATTCTAGATTGAGATATGCATATTATGTCCTAACACATGTTTTGTGCTTACAGAGTGAATATTGATCTTGATTTCTGTTATATTGCTTGAAATAACACCATGCAGTACAATGATATAATGCTGTAGGAATGAAGGTTTTAAGTGTTTCCAATATCATCCATTCCTTTCTTCTGGATGGTATGGGTTCAGATTCACATTGTAGATGTGTGAGCTTGGCGTAGAAAATTTACTTATCCGGATGTGGCCAATGGCATTAGGCCCACTCTCCCCAGTCCTTCAGCCCACCCCGTCCTCACTCTATTTCTCTGTAGACTGGAGTGCAAAAGGAATTTTGAATAAATATTGAGGGAAATAAATTGTTATAGGCATGATATAGTTGTTTTGAAGTCATAAAAAATGGTATCTCTTTTTTTGCTTCCTGACTTTCCGTGTGAGATTTAATGCCAGATATTGACCATGAATTTGTTAGGTACCCCCACGTTGAAAAGGACCATTTGGTTAAGCTTTTGAAGCAACTAATCCTCAATGCCGCATCTCCTGCTCATGGGGTGGTTGACAGAAATGCTATAAACGCAGCTGCTGTCCCTACTCTCTTGGGAACCAGTTGCTTTTCACTTCTGAGCAGTATGTGACCTGGATAAGAAATTGTTTGATTCACTTATTCCTTTATTATTTGTATATTGGTATTGCTCAATGTTGTATTTGTGTTCATTAGCATCTCCAGAGTGATTTTAGAGAGGCTTGCAACCTTTAATTTTAACTAGTATTTTATTTGCAAAAGCTTTTATTTCATTCTTGAGAAAATGAGTCATGATGATCGAGTAAAGATAGAATTCTGACAAGATTGCTTAAGAAGCTATAATGCTACAGAAATGTATGATGATGGATAAACTAAAAGAGGTTGTAAAAATAGGCTCCTGCGAAGATCTCACTTGTTATTATTTTTTCTCATTTATTGCTTTTGCTGTCGCTCTCTCTCTCTCTCTCTCACAGGTGAACAAAATAAGGCAAATGATGAAGTAAATCATCCCCCAAGTTACATGCGTTGGCCTCACATGTTGGCTGATCAATTTCATGGACTAAGTCTAAGGGAAATTGGTGGTGGTTTTTCCAGACACCACCGTGCACCCTCTATTCGTGCAGCTTGTTATGCGATTGCAAAACCATCCACCATGGTGCAGAAGATGCAAAATATTAAAAGAGTTAGAGGACACCGTTATGCTGTTTATTGCGGTAAGTATTTCCTTGCATTAGTTTTCAACTTCAGGTGGATGCTGCAATGATAATTATACGTCTTGGAGGATTTCCATGTTCCTAGAGGTGCATTGTTGAGATGTTTGCATTCCCTTTCTGCTCTCTATCTTTGATGATTTATGTTTCTCTCTCTTTTTCCTTTTTTTTTATTTTTAAATTGGTTCTTTTCCATCATGAGGATAGGTAGGATGATCTTGCTGAGACATCTCAAGATAATTGTTTATGAGCTGCCCATTTGGGATAATTAAGAGTACCTTTGTGGATAATTTGGAGTTATGACAAACCAGATTTATTTAAAATGAGCTTAGTAGTTTCTAGTTTTTTGAATTTCCTAGCCTTAAAAGAGACTGAATTAGAAGGTGATCGTATATGCAGGTTGTATTCTTTGACAATATTTGCACTTTGGATTGTACTTTTGCAAGTCATTGCGTGATAATAGCCTTTGGCATTTAAATTTCTAAGGGCCGGATTACGGTTTTTGAATTCAGACTCTCTAGATGTCAAGACCTTGCAACATAGGTACACTCTTTAAGGAATTTATTGGCGCTGGCTTTTCAACACCTGTCATGGTGCTTTTCTATACTGCATTTTCGTGTCCTGTTATGTCAGCCACCTGCACTGCTTCTCAGCCTCCCTTGATCCTCAAGCGTGCATCTCTATGTGTTTGCTTCCCTAAATTGTTCATCCTTTTTGTATTTGCTATATGTTTATAGCTAGCTTATTAGAAACAATGTTGTGTCTTGTTTTCCATCTGAATGAATTAAGAATTCCTTTCAGCCATTTTTGACCGGTCTGGGAGATTTGTCATTACTGGCTCAGATGATCGACTTGTTAAAATTTGGTCAATGGAAACTGCATATTGCTTGGCCAGCTGCCGAGGACATGAAGTATGTTTAACTACAAGTATTCAAGGTACATTGGTTCCATGTCATTCTCCATTTCTTAGATTTGACTTTTGTACCATATCACATTTACACAGGGTGACATCACTGACCTCGCTGTGAACTTCAACAACACTGTGATAGCTTCTGCGTCAAATGATTGCATCATACGTGTTGTAAGCTTCTATTTGGGTCAGCTATTTAGATATTGTGATGTCTGTTGTTGATTGGTCATTTACATTGTTGTCATGTTCATGTCGGGTAGTGGAGGTTGAATGATGGCTGTCCAATATCAGTTTTGAGAGGTCATACCGGAGCTGTTACTGCTATTGCCTTTAGTCCAAGACCAGGCGCCTTCTTTCAGCTTTTATCGTAAGTCTTTTGGTTCTCATCTTTTTGTTGGTTTTTCAGGTGTGCTTTTGCACCAAATTGAATAATGAAGCTTAATCTTTTTACATCAAGAAAGATAGATAAAAAAAAGAAAAAAGAAAGCTTTGAGTTCAGTTGAAACATGAGTAATTAGAGGTTTCTGTAGTTGCTCTAAGTGGGTGAATGGAAGCCCTCGCCCAGTTGGATGCTATTAAATGTTGAACTATCATTAACATAGCCTTGACAGAATCAATACTCAGGAAGCCAATTGTGGTCTCTAAATGTCCTGGAAGCAGGAGGGTGGCTTCTCATCTAATACAGTGCTCCATATCTTTATAGGGCCAGATGCCTTTTTATACCCAATTTTTTTTTGTATAATCTTGTCTGTTTGGATACAGAAAGGGTTCAAAGGGGCTAAATATATGCAGGTGAAATATCAGAAATCTGTCTACAGAATTTGATACCGAGAAAATCAACCCGGGCATCTGGTGACTGGTGTTCATTAAAATGGTTAATTAAAAAGTGAGCGGAAGAGAATCTCTACACTGCCTTGCATTAGACTTTGTATTTGAGTTCCATTTAACATGCTAGTCTCAGTTTAACTTGGCTGAGATTGTGTGGTAGTTAAAGAATGGAAACTTAGTGGCTGTAAAAGTCACTTTATTAAATCTTAAGGGAAAATCCATGTAACAGTGGTGCAGGGTTGAGATTACCTGTTTATTCAATGAGGTCTGATAGCTGTAATGGTGGGGAAACGAAAAGCCCTTGTCTCCTCGTATTATTGGATAATATCTCCAGTTAAGGAAGTGAAAATTATTTTAGAAAAACTAAATGAAAGATGAATGGAGTTAACTGCTCAAACATGAGTTTGTTATATCTGTGCTATTAAACATAATTATATTTTCTCCTCTGCAATCTAAAACCTTCCTATCTATTGCCTTTCCCCACATGGACAATGTTGAGTTCATATTATGTGGATTTGGTCTGTGTAGAACATATATATCTTTTTTATCATATTTATGCTGACTATATTTATCTTTATTTTACGTGTATCATAGGTCCTCTGATGATGGAACGTGTCGTATTTGGGATGCTAGATGCCCAAACCCCAAAAGTACTCGTGTATATGTGCCAAAACCTTCAGATCCTGCTCCTGGTTAGTTTGTGCTTCTCTGGTACTAAATGAAGTTGGTCAATATTGTATTATCAATTATCTTACACAATGTCTTAAATGCTTAGGAAAGAACAATGGTCCTTCATCAAGCAGTGCCCAACAAAGCCATCAGATCTTCTGTTGTGCTTTCAACTCTAGTGGAACTGTTTTTGTTACTGGAAGCTCAGACACTCTTGCAAGGGTATACCTGAATCTATAGCTATCAAATTCAATTGATTTTACATTTAAACAGACCCAAACTCTCCCACCAATAATTGGATTTGGTCCTGCATAAATCCAATTATTCATTGGTTAATTAAGGATGGATTTTAGTCTCCTACACCCTGTTATCTCCCAATCCCGCCCACCCCCCCAATTTTCACAAGTTTCCTCATGGTGTTGTCTCCAATAATCAAATTTGCTTTTTCTTCGTTCATTTCTTCTTCTTCCTCCCCTTACTTCCACAGCCTTAGTAGCTTCCTCATCCTCTGTACATCACCAGCAGGTAATCCCATTGTCAGTGCCAGAAGCCATCCCTCACGACCTCTGTATGGTCTCATATTGTGATAGAAACCAATCCATTTTTGCAACCCTCCTCAAATCTGATAATCTATACTTGAAAATATGCTTACTGTGCTGTACTCATTTTAAGCATCCAAAGTTGCAAGAACCATTTAAAGACTCACAAGTCAAGATTTTAATAATCCGGAAACTGAGTTAATTGAATTCAAAATGCAAAAAGTCCAAACGGAATTGAAACAGATTCCTAGTTTCCCATTAGTGATTTAACCATCATCAAAATCACATGAAAGTACCTTATTCATAAGCCAGTTTGACGAAAAGTGTGTTTATTTGCTATTTTTGTGCTTTATTCGTTTTCTTTCTAAAGCATTCAGAAGTTGTGCATGTCTTGTTAGTGGTAGGGAAAAGTTGATGGGTCATATTGACTAATTGGATGACTTGGGTTGAACCCAATTACACCTATCATCTGCCAAAACTCCTGTAGATCATGATTCTTTGCTCAATCATTCTTTACTGTAACTCTCTCTGTTGTGCCTTGTTGCGAATGATGACTTGTGGATGTTATTACAGTTGATTTAGTGGTAAGCTGTATTTGTGTCTATATATATGCATAACTCTTGCAGATCAGCAAACCTTATAGTTTCCTTGTGTGAACGTGATTTTCTCTAGGTTTGGAATGCTTGCAAGGGCAATGCAGAGGAGTCAGGACTACCTAATCATGAGATGGATGTTTTAGCTGGACATGAGAATGATGTAAACTATGTCCAATTTAGGTCCGTCTTCCCTGATACATTGACTGTGATCAATGACTTAATCTTTGTCATATATAATCTTTTTTTCTCATCATGCAGTGGCTGTGCTGTGACATCTAGATTTTCAGTCTCTGATACTTCAAAAGAAGAAAACATCCCAAAATTCAAAAATGCATGGTGTGTACTCATGTCTTGACAAAGAGATGTAGATAGTCTATTTGCTGTTTAGAATATCTTGATGAATTATTGTGTTAGTTTAGATAATTGCATTCCTTGCGTTAGGTCCAATCTAACTACTCTCCTTCAGGTATAACCAGGACAACATCGTCACCTGCTCTCGCGATGGCAGTGCTATCATATGGATTCCAAGATCTCGTAGATCACATGTGAGTTTGTCCAAGTTATTTTTTGTAGTAATTTGGGAAAACAATCCTTTTCCTAGCCCTCTCATTTGCTAATAAGGGACAAGCTTTTCATTCTTTCTCAATTTGTCAGCTTGGCCAAGAGATTTCATTTGAGGGGCTAAAGTAGCGTTGCTTTATATACTCCTTTATATTGTGGTTTAATGAATTTTGGCTTACAGTCCACTAATTTTCTAATTTTAGGGTAAAATTGGCCGATGGACACGGGCATATCATCTTAAAGTTCCGCCACCACCTATGCCACCTCAACCACCGAGAGGAGGTCCTCGTCAAAGAGTTCTTCCAACTCCTCGTGGTGTTAATATGATAGTCTGGAGTTTGGACAATCGGTTTGTCCTCGCTGCTATCATGGGTATGTTGCTCGTTGGTATCAATGTCTTTCTGCAGTCATATTTTTGCACTTTCCTGCCATCTAAATTGTTTTGCACTTGGTTCCCATGAAGTTGACCCATGTGTGTTTGCTTCACAATTTTACAAAATGGAGGTTGTTATTCAACAAAGGTCTTTGGCAGTTGATCTTTACTTTTGAAAATTGTTTTTCAAGAAAATATAATCCTGCATCCTGCTCCAATTTCCCTGTGCATAATGGAGGCTCTAATATTTAGATCCCTAATGTTGTTATCATATTATTCTCTACCACGTCTAGGTTCTATTAGATTGTTTGGTGCAGAATGATTTCTTTTCCTTGTGGCAGATTGCAGAATATGTGTCTGGAATGCTGCTGACGGTAGCTTAGTACATTCTTTGACAGGCCACACTGAATCAGTAAGCCATTTATCTCTCTCTCTCTCTCTCGCTTTGTGCCTAGTGTAGTTTTTGGACATAGATGCAAACTCTAGAGTTTTTGCTGCTATTTAGTGGTAGATCTTATATTTAAATGATAACTAAGATAGAAACTATATTGCATATAAATGATAAGACACCATTTACATCTTGAATCTTACACAAATAGTGGATCTGTGTGCTTTGGTATCAAAGGTGTACTAGAGTAAAGGGCGCTTTAACCATTCAGCCATGGATGCTTAGCGGGGGTGCTCGCACATGGTGAATAACCAAATTCCAATTGAAATGAAATCTTTAGGATAAATCAATGCAATTTAGCAGGAATCAATGAAAGGACATCAAATCAAATCCTGGATTTTCGAATTGATAGATATAATGAGAGAGATCAGGAATTCTCACTATTTCTTAGATTCATGGAGCCAATTCAATTCAGTGGGATCTTTCATTCACTTTTTTTTTCCACCAAGAACGTTTTATAAAACTCTTCAACATCTGAATTTGGAGTATCCTACTTTCACGCCGTTTGCAGGGTCCAATAAGCAATCGATATTTCATGATCAAGGGTGTAATACTCTTTGTGGTAGTGGTCCTTATATATTGTATTAACAATCAAAATATGGTCAAAAGCAAAAATCTCTATTTCATAGGACTTCTTCGTATGCCTGTGAATTCCATTGGACTGAAAAATGATGCATTGGAAGAATCCGTTGGGTCTTCCAATACCTATTGAAAATTTAGCAACTGTTTCCCATTTATTGCTATTACACATATATATCCTCTCCAGTTGTTTTTTAATTTTTATCTTTATTTTTAATGTGTACATGGTTCTCATCTGAGGAATTCCAATTTTCACTGATGAAGACTTTTTTTTTGACAATTACTTTGTGATATATAGGCTTTATTTACTCATTCACATTTTTTGAATTCTGAACACTTCGTAGGCTCTTTCTTACTGAATTGCTCAAGTCAGTGTTGTAGTGCTGGTGAAAAGGTTTTATTACCTCTGGATCTTTATTGGTTGGCTGGTTAATTGATAAATTTTTTATTTCTTCAGTTTAGGTTTAATAAGTTCGCCAACCAAACAAAGCCAATATGATGTGCTACTTGATCAAATAGTCTGTTTTGTTTTGGAATGTTGCATTTGCTTTTCATTTTTGATTGTCTTACTATGTTGTTTTTAAAATATATGTATGCTAACAGGAGGTTTTCATTTCATATGCAATCATTTTTATTGCGTTGTCTTTCGCTATGAAAGTAATCTGATCTGCATCAAAATAACTGTTATTTGATCCACTTTTTCAGGTTCTTGCTTGTGCCTTGTATATTTATAAAATTTCAACTCTCAGTTCACCTATAACATTTGTATGAATAATCGAACTGTGAAAACATGAATAATTTGAGATTGGTGCCTTTGGTGGAGAGTTGTTAAGGTCCTATGAAGATCTAACTTCATATGCTAAATCCCCTGTCCTGAATCTTTCACTGTATTTCCTGCTTATGCCCTTGTCCTGTTATGTGGCATCTCTACAATTCATGCTTTGCTTCATTGCTATTTGTTGCTTGTCTTGTCACGGAGCCACACCTGACAGTCGTCGTGATTTTTGCAGACTTATGTTTTAGATGTTCATCCTTTTAACCCTCGAATAGCAATGAGTGCGGGATATGATGGGAAAACGATTGTCTGGGATGTAAGTATAAACCGGATGGTTTTGATATCTCTCAATTGTTTCTCTTTTAGGCTTTTCATGTTGTGTCTCTCTCTCTCCATGTAGATATGGGAAGGCACACCTGTTCGTACTTATGAAATTGGACGCTTTAAGCTGGTTGATGGAAAATTTTCTCCGTGAGTTAATGAATTTTACAGCTTAGTTCCTATTTTCCCTTCTTTGGTTATTGTTTTTTGGTTTGGTGGTATCTGTTCATTTATCTTTAGAGTTGTAAGTAGTCAAAAGCTTTTCTGCATGTTGGGATGTTGTTTAAAAATGCCTGTGCAGTTTGATCAGTCCATTGAGTCTATTATGGCTTCTGGAGTTATGTGGTTCATCTGTTGAATGCATTGGAATGAATAATTAGAATGCGTCTTAATTTAGTTGAATTTATCATGGAAAAGACCAAAAATCCAGTTCTTTGAATCACTTCTGAGATCCATGCTCATATGCAAAAGGCACAAATTATACAGTATATTGGTCTAAATGAAACTTTTTTCAGGGATGGAACATCAATTATTCTCTCTGATGATGTTGGCCAACTGTATATACTTAGCACTGGGCAGGGAGAATCCCAAATGGATGCCAAATATGATCAGGTATGAAATCATCACATCTTTTCAGTGGCATGTTTGGGAATACAAGCGTTGCATGGTGGAATACTCAAAAGTTTGGGTCCATGGTGATTATTCTGGTCTTTGCTGCACCACTGGATTGCTGCATTTATCACATTATTAGTTGCTATGGTGATTAGAGAAGTCATGGCGCCCGCTCAGTGTTGCATGCCAAGGAAATAATCAAAAGAAAATGAAGGAAATTTGGAAAACAATTTAAGTTAGTTAAAAAACTACCGAAAGTCTTAGACCCACAATACTTCAAAGAAATTCTACTACCTTAGTAAACTTCTTCAATCATTAAATAAAAAACTTTTGTGTAGCATTTCCCAAACTTTTCCTATGTCCTACTATTAGTTAAACTACACAATATATTAAAGGAATTCACATTCACCTAAGTACTTATGCTCTCTTCCCTTTTAGTTAAAAATATGGCTACCTGGTTGATCAGAAAAAAACCTGCGTCTACTTATAAGAAATCTCAAATTGACATGACACCAAAGTCTTACCGTATTCTACGGAATGAGAATGGGAGAGTAAGAACCTGGAATTGGTTGTAAGTTTGGACTTGTTCTATGTCTTTAGTTCTTCTTCGACTCTATGCTTGTGTTCAACTTGTTTTTGTTTTTTTCTCTTTTTTTTCCCAATTTAAAAATTGAGCAAGTCTTTTCTTTTTATAGGAGCCTAAAGTAGTTATCTGTGATCCTATAAGATTTACACTTTCATACTATTGATGTCTGCTGCCTTGTTTCCCCTCCGACTTGTTTAGTTATTTTCTCTTTTTCCTTTTTTTCTTGCCATTTCTTTATCCCCAAGATGTATTACCTCTACTTGTTCAACTGATCTTCCATGTTTTTTTTTTATTCTACTACAATGAAAAAACAAATTGAATTCGTTGTAGCAAATTTTCCTTTTCATTGTTTTTCAAGAAATTATTTTTCTTTCTTGTTTAATAATGTTTAATTTCTAAAAGTCATTGCTCAATAATCTTATTCCAATTCAGAGTCTTATTACATTAGAAAATTTGCCTTCTACTTCTAAAACCAAAAAAAATGTCGCTGTTTCATAAATAGCCCCAACAATTCTAATGAAAGCATTTATAATTGGAGACACAAGAAAGTCATTAAATTTTATTGTGAGGGTAACTCTGGGAAAAAAATCTAAACACCCCACTCTAACTCCCACATTAATTTGGCATAGGCACGTGTGTGCGCGCGCACGTACGTGCTTGTGTACTCAGCCTCTAATAGCAGGGTACAAGGCCATTCTTGATTTCATTGCCTATTCTGTTTGATGAATTGGTAATCTCCTTTATGTCTGTTTGCAGTTCTTCTTAGGGGACTATCGACCACTTATTCAAGATACACACGGAAATGTTCTTGACCAGGTTATTCGTTACTTCTTCTTCTGCATTTGTTACCTTGTTACTTTATTTTTTTTACCATGCTTCCTTTGATTTACTTCTCAGAGTTTGTAGAGGGTAGATGACAGACAGAAAAGCTATTCCTCTTCATTGGTTTTTAGTAATATTGATTGCATGAATGTGATATTTATTTATTATGATATTTATAATGATTATTAATTGATTTGCATAATAGAGGATTTTTTTTTGTTTTATTTTATCAAGGACGATGAGGATGACTTCTAGTGATTTTGTGTAGGAAACTCAGCTTTTACCTTACCGAAGGAATATGCAAGACCTTCTTTGTGATTCAGGTCTGTTCTTTTCTTTCTTCCCAGCTCTCTCTTAATGATTTTCTTCATCTTAGTTTGTTGCTTATCAGTTTTTTAAGTGCAGCTTGTCTTAGATTTTCCTAATTAAAATTCCTCTTTGTATCGGATAGAAAGTAAAGAGTATATCTTAGTGCTGGTTTTCGATGCATTCTTTTTTGCAGCCTTGCTTCCGTATCCTGAGCCTTATCAGAGCATGTACCAACAACGGCGGCATGGAATCTTGGGCATTGAATGGCGCCCTTCTTCTGTAAAATTTGCTGTTGGAGCTGATATCAGCCTGGACCAAGATTACCAAATGCTTCCCATAGCAGACTTGGACGTTTTGATTGATCCGCTTCCAGAGTTTCTGGATGTTAGGGATTGGGAACCAGAAATTGAGATACAAAGTGATGATACTGATTCAGAGTATCATATAACTGAGGAAATCTCTTCTGGAGGGGAACAAGGAAGCTTAATTTCTGTTTCTTCTGGTGACCTAGAGAGTAGTGGAGATGACAGTGAGGCTGAGGATTCCCATAAGGATGGCCTTCGAAGGTCAAAAAGGAAAAAACAGAAGGCCGAAGTAAGTTTCTTTTCTCATCTTATTTCTTGACAGCATATTTTGGGAACAGATAATGACATCTTATTTCTTTAACTACCCAGATTGAGGTCACTACATCTTCTGGAAGGCGTGTTAAGAGGAAGAATCTGGATGAATATGGTGATAGTTCCCTTGTAATTAGTCGTAGTAGAAAATCAAAACTTGGTCGTAAAGTCTCAAGGAAAAGGTCATCGTTATCTAAGTCTTTACGACCTCAGAGAGCTGCTGCCAGGAATGCTCTTCATTTATTCTCCCGAATTACAGGAACATCAACAGATTTAGAAGAAGAATATACCACCGAAGGTGATTCATCAGGAATTGAAACCATACTTGATGATTCAAGCATTGTCAGTGAAGACTCGGATTTATCTTTGCAAAATGAAGGAGGAGAGAACTTGAAAGGAAAACAAATTTCTGTCGATCAGTCTGAGGATTTGGATAAACGTGATCTCCGGTCAAAGCTTAATCTAGATGCTGGAGCTAAGAGAAGATTAGTGTTAAAATTGCCAAACCGTGATGCAAGTAAATTTTTAACTCCAAAATATGGTGTCCCTGAATCTGAAAGCCAGCGTGTTTGTGCAGGCCCATCATCTACAGCTCCTACACCTGCAGATGAGGGGAAAAGTTTTACACACGATCACAAGTACTCTGTTAGTGATGGACATGGCAGTGAAATGGATAAAAGCCATACAGGCCAACCTGCAAAGATTCAACATTGTTTAGACTTGCTTGAAGGGTGCAAAGAAAGCAATATTGGTTGGGGAGGGGTAAAGACTCGCACTTCTAAACGTTCAAGGGTGGGTGAATCAATGTCTTCAGTTGCACATGCTGGATCTATTCCATTTCTTGATGGACACGACAAGACAGAAAATGCTTCATCTGCTTCTGCCTTCCAAAGCGGAGGTAAGACTGATGAAATGATTGAAATAAACAAGGATGAAGTTAGTGCCAGCATTCTTAATAATTCTGAAGCTAGGAATATCGATTCAAATTCATGTTTGATTGACTCAAAGGACATTGAAAAATCATCATCTAAGCAGGTGATTGATGGTAGAACTGGACTTTCCATTCAACTTACTAATGGGAAAGATGACAGTTTTAAATTGCTAGAGAAACCTGTCACAATGCCAACAAAGCTGCGCATTAAGTCAAGAATCTTTATTAGTGATCATGAAAGCTCTGGAAAGATAGAGGGTCAATCATCATTTGAGGGTTCTGGGCACAATTCCTGTTGCATGTCTGAAAGTTCAGACATTAGGAAGAACTCAAGTTGTGGCCCTCTTGTCAATGAAGAGACCAGACTACCTAATTCAGAAAATGGAATCCATGATCAGGTTGGTAGGTCTTCCAATTCTGTGTTGCTGGACTTGCATCAGTTGCCTCCTCAAAATAGGATTTTCAGTGCTGTTTATCGAAGGTCAAAGTCTCTGAGGGGTAGAAGTAATCAAGAACATGACAACGGAAATGGAGCCAGTACTTCAGCTGGAGAAGATCATAATTTACATGATGAAAATGAAGCACTGACTGAAGGTGTCAGGAGGCCAAGGTCCATTAGATTGAGGTCATCAGCTGCAGATGATCTTAGCACAGATGACGGAAATCTTTTGCAAATTGAAGGGGTAAGAAAGGCAAGGTCCATCAGATTGAGGTCAACTGCTCGTGATTCAAACTTTTCAGGCAGCAAGAGTAAAATTAAGGAAGCCCATGGTGCTTCATCAAATACTCCACCTTTTGCAGAAAATTCTTCAGTGAATCGAGATGATAACTCTTATGAAGAACAAGGAATGGGTGCAAAGGTTCCTGTTATGGGATTAAGACCGACCAGAAACAGAAGAAGTAGTTATTATGATCGTGAAGCTAGTCCACCAGATAAAAGGAAACCAATTCAATCAACAAGAAGTTCATGGTTATTATTGTCAACACATGAGGAGGGCTTCCGGTATATTCCCCAGCAAGGGGATGATGTTGTGTATTTGAGACAGGTTAATTTGAGTTTTCATTTAGTAAATTATTGTAGATTGGTATACTCCTGGTATATATTCTGTCTTCATTCTCATGTGCTTTGCTGTTTCCTCAGGGGCACCAAGAGTACATAGCTTACAGCCATTTAAAGGATTTGGGCCCTTGGAGTACACTCAAAGGCCACATCAGAGCTGTGGAGTTTTGCAAGGTTGAAGAGCTCGAGTACTCAACAATTGGTGGTTCTGGCGAGAGCTGCTGTAAAATATTACTTAAATTTGTAGATCTGGAATCTAGTGTAGTTGGTAAATCGTTTAGACTGGTTTTGCCTGAAGTGACTAGCTTCCCTGACTTTCTTGTTGAGAGAAGTCGATATGATGCTGCCATTTCGAGAAAGTGGACTTCTCGGGATAAATGCCAAGTTTGGTGGAAAAATGAGGGTGAGGAAGATGGTAGTTGGTGGGAAGGCCGGATTTTGGCTGTAAAACCTAAATCTCCTGACTTTCCAGACAGTCCATGGGAAAGTTATGTGGTTCAGTACAAAAGTGATCCCAGGGAAACACATCAACATAGTCCTTGGGAGCTGTATGATGCTGATACACATTGGGAGCAGCCTCATATTGATGTAGATATTAGAGACAAGCTGCTCACTGCTTTTGCCAAGCTGGAGCGATCTGTGATTAAGAATCGGGTAACCATATAAATTCTCTGCTGGATAGGAGCATATGGCTTGGTTTGAATATGGAATGTTCTGATGGTTTGTTTGATCTGCAGGACTACTATGGGGTGCAAAAATTGAGAGAAGTTTCTCAAAAAGCCAGTTTTATTAACAGGTGCGTCTTTGAAATTAATTTTAACATGTGATCATGGAACTGGAACTGCTTGCATTTTTTATCACTAGTTGTATTGTTACTGGTGAGGTCCATGGAGTAACAGTGAAGAGGCCATCAAGCCCTCCATCTTTGCAGATGCATTAATGGATATCTTGATTGCAAATCCAATGTAGATTGTATTGTTATTTTGTTGAAGGTCACACTGACAAGTATTTTAATGGAGATCTGCAGGTTCCCAGTTCCGTTGTCTCTTGAAGTGATCCAGAGTAGATTAGAGAACAACTATTATAGAAGTTTAGATGCAATGAAGCATGATGTTAAAGTACTGCTGTCAAATGCCGAGTCCTATTTCGGAAGAAATGCTGATGGTTTAGCAAAAGTTAGACGTTTGTCTGACTGGTTCACACGGATACTGTGCTGATTGTAGTTTTTGGGGACACAATTTTGTAGAAAATTCATCTGACATTAGGCTTTTAGGCCAAGCTGGTCATCTTGTATATATACATTCCTCTTTCAGTTTATGATTTGCTCTCCCTCATTTCGTTGGCTAGGATAGGGCAACTCCAGCTAAAGAGAAAATTGGTTTGCCTTTATATGGTTGATTGTTTAGGGGAAACTAATTTAGGAATCTATAATTTGCTGGTTGTTGGAATGCTTCTTCCAACGAATGCATTTTTGTATGTTTTTGACATTGAGAATTGGCATCAATTGGTACAATATTTTTAACGTTTCTCTATTGCTTGTATCTTGTATTGGCGTGGTTCAATCACATTTGCATGCAATACTTCATTGCTTTGAGCTTTCTGGTTCAATTAGATTTGCATGGAACGCTTTTTTTTCGGTGAGCTTTCTCGTTCTGTTTTACTTAGGGCACCAAATGTCCAGGGTATGTGACTATTCTACTTGTTCAGTGTGATCTATTTAAGCTTCATAAAAGTACCTTTTAAACGCTGATATTCAGGCTTAGTACAAGAACTTAACTGATAAGAGATTTTGTGGCCTATTACCGTATTAACCACAGGCCAAATGGGAATATCCAGCCACGACCGCTTACGATTTTCCCCCTATATAATATGGATTCCTGCTCAAAATTCCACCCGGGTAAAACTTATGGGCGGTAGTTACTAATTTCCATCGAATCATGTGTTCTAAAATCTTATGCATAAATCAATGTTTTTACCCCGCTCCATGCTAAAGATAAAAACTAGTTGCTGATCCAGAAAGTGAAAGACTTAACCTAGATTTCCAGTACAGAATTTAAAAAGAGAACTGGAAAAGTACACTGATTCATACCGTCAGTCTTTTTCCTAGAATTGTTCTATAGCTAATCCAGCAGTATTCTTGGCAACTATGCCACTGGTTAGACATGAATTTCAATCTCTCCACCTGTGACCACAGTTTGTGTTGCAGCAAACAAAGAACAGCGTCATACCCTCTTCCCCTCTAGCAGTTGCCTGTAAAATTGTTGAACAATGAAAATGTTAAAACATCATTCAAGCATCAAGAGTTCGAGAAATCTACTACCCATACTACTATTTCTGACTACACTAGGATTAAAACACCAGGATTTTTAGCATAAATTTTCTAGCCAACAACCTTATAGAAGCTTTCAATTTCTGGTCAAGAATTGAAACAGTTTGGCTTGTTCCTTAAGATCTCAAACCAAATTAATGCAAAACAACCGAGAGAGTAAGCTACAGTCATATTGACTCCACATATATATACAATTCCTTATATCACCAATCTATAGCAGCCATAACTGTCAAAATCTAAAGAAAAGGCAATATGCATTTCAACCTCAGGAATTGATATCAACATCACATAAAACAAACAATCTTTAGAAGGGAAAAGCACCTATTTCTATTAAGTCAAGCCAGATGCAAATGCCCAGACCATGCAACTCTTGAGACAAAGACATCAGCCAAGCTCAAGCGCATCACAGCACAGACTTAGAACAAGCAATATGGAGCGGCAATAACTAGTAAAGTTAGCTGTGTAGCAGCATGAATCTGAAGTTATGAAAGTCACCTGAAAGAAAACAGCCTCTCCATGACCACACTGAGCACAGTGCACCGACTTGGTACGTGGAAGGGTTGGATCAGCAGCTACATCCTGCAGGACTTGGGTTCGCTCTCCAACACTATGGTGTATTTCATTTCTGTAAACACAATTGTTATCTGCAGCCTCCTATACAGAGTCAAGAAGATTCTTATGAGGTAAAAAATGACCCACTTATTATTTAGCATCCGGTAACTCAACTCAAGGAAATGATAGCTATCCTTTCTCAAGATCAACTAACATGTCCGCTGACATGGTGGTGGAAGGACAAAGCAGAAAAACCAATCAACAAATATTTTTCACCCAGAATTTCAGGAGTTCATTCATCATATAATAATGTTTATTTTACCAGGGGAGACATATAACAGCTACAGTAGATAGACAACAGCATTTAACATCACTTGCAATTAATATTGCACGCTAGCTAATATTCTGGTCAATTACTTACTTGAAGCAGTTAGAAAAGTGAAAATATGCGGTGTGAAGCAAGGCCACTTAAGGCAGAAAAAATTTAGTCAAAACATACTTGGATTGTCAAAAGTGATTTTACTCAAATAGAGTTGGTCACTGGAGCAAGGTAGAACAAGAGATTCTGCATTACATAGGTCAGCCTCAATGACCCCATACTAACCAATAAGAGCCACCCAAAAAGTTACATAAAGGAACTGAAATTTAAATTGCTGCAAATTCAGCAACGAAAGCCCTTGGAAGGCAAAGGGGTCATTAAGAAAACCCTCCTTTATTTTACAAAGATGGATGGAGAAGCAATGAAAGATATGGTTATGGTAACATTGTTCATCCATGCTTCATTGGAAAAAGCAATGTGAAAACAGAGAGTTATTCTGAGAGAAAAGTTCAAATCATGATCTCAATCCAAAAAAATCAGGGGAGCTTGCCTATAAAAATGGTTTTTTTTTTTTCCATTCTACCGCACCCAAATACCAGTATGAAACTACTTTTCACGGAGATGTGAAACCTCCTGTTGCCCGTATTTTCCTAACTAGCTTGACTGCTAGACTCAAAATCATAACTATCTTGCTTTAACAAAATGCTACCAACACTATTAAAAAAAAAGACAAAAAAAAGGGTTGGGAAAGATAAAAAAAATAAGCTGTACGAAGGAATGAATTTATTTTACACAATCAAAGACAGCTAACAGTTCTGATTGAATTTAAGCATAAAAACTTACCAAAAAAAGAATTTAAGCATAAAAACAAAAACCCTGAACCCTTCGAGATAGGAGGGAACGGAAACCTGGTGATCACAGTTACGGCAAGCGTAGAGGAGAATCTTCTGATCTTTGTCTTCCTTCGGGTACAGAATGTTGTTGCTACATTATTAGCAAATTTATCAATTTAATTGAGAATTTAATTATATTCGCCCAGACAAACAAACGAACGTAGAACACACACATTCACACAGTTAATTGACAGATAAAAATAGAGGAAGAAAAATAGGTAAGAGCGGATCAATGTGGACTGACCATTCACGGCAAAACTTCATAGTACTCATCTTCTTCTTGGGAGCAGGATGTTGAATTGTCGATTGATTGAAGCTTAACAAGTTTGGGTTTTCGCGTTCGAGTAGGAGAGCCTTCTTCTCTCTTTATCCCCTCTCTCGGCTGCCTATGGAGCTTTAAATATGACCGCCCGCCCAGCAGTCGCTTTAAGTTTGGTTTACTCATCAAGTACCCTCCACCCACTAATCTAAATAGTTCATAAAATGGGAATTAACTTTATCAAAGTAAAATCAATGCACATCATAGTAAATGTTGAATTGTTAAACTTGAGTAGAGCCATAGAGAAATTTAACATTTTATGAAGGTAAATTTAACAATCTCCCAAAAGAAGATCAAATAACTATCCCTATTTTTGAATTAAAAAAATTGTATATAAAACATGACAAAGAATAGTTTATAAGACAAAATATGTACGTCAACTAAATACAAATTAGAGAGAATAAGTATTTATAAAATACACGTGTACATATAGGATTCTCTATAAAACACACGACATGTATACATATAAGATTTTCTTATCAAACTTAATCGAATAATCTATAATCTATCAGTTACTCCTTATCAATATATTTCTCGTTTTATCGAAGGAACCCAATCGAATAATTCATCAGTAACTTCTTATCAATACATTTCTTGTTTTATCGAAGGTAATACATTTGTCGTTTAATCAACTTATATATAATGTTGAGTATTACATCCATTATTTAATCGGATTGATCGAGTTGAATATTCGTGAGTATCGAGGTTCACCTAACCCATTACCAACCCTAGATTTCAACGAAGTCTTTTTTTCTAGATTATTTTTTTCCCTTCTCTTCCTGCTTTCCAGAAATTTTCGTTTCTTTTATAAGAAAATCATTAAAAGGCTTCTTTTTTTCAAAGAAAAAAACAAACACAAAAAATGCTTGGCTTTGCAAGTTTATCTTTGAATGACTTTGCCGTATTCGAGTAACTATAGCCCTCATTCTCAAGTGGAACACGGCAAAATGGCTGAGAATCAATAGGCAAAATTTTTAGTTCTTCCACTAGTACGAGTCACTGTTTTTTTTTCGCGACCTCAGGCGAATGGGAATTTAAAGATTGTAATCCATCCGTACCATGGTCCTCTAAACTAACCACAAGAACCCCCATAACCTAACGGACTTAATATACTGCAAAGAACATACTGAACTTTGGTGTGGAGCCTGGAGTATCAGTTACATCTGCAGATGCAGCTTCTACTTAGTCTCTCCATGAAAGCACATTTATGAACTCACGCAGATTGGAAAGACATTTAACTTTACTCCTATGCAGCTCCATCTCGAGATATGAATCAGCAGAAAAAAAGCCATAGAATTGCTTCCATTCAGCAATGCAAAGTAATCGGCAGAAGTTTCATGCCCGATTCACGGCACAATACTAGATAAACGTAATACAGAATCAAGGCCGACAAATTATGCGCAAGATCTGCTTTCAGAACCAAAATAAAGAAGATTATAGAGAAAATGGAAAAAGTGCATATATTAGGATAGCAGCAGAACACAAGCTTACTGTGGATTAGTAGCCAATCACTAGCTTCACCAATATTGCCCTGTTGCACAACCAAGCAAGAAACTAGAATTCAATAACAAGATAGCTAAATTCTTACAACCAGAGAATAAGAGTCATACAACTGAAAAAAAGAACATGTAATCATCCAATACTTGTATGGGCTTCCAATATCATTGACGCTTCTTTCTCAAACTGACAACCGAAAAAGCAGACACTAAAATCAAGAAACTCCAATCAGCCCGACCACCTCAATGCTTCCTGCTATGCCTCCTGCTCCTGGAGCTCCTGCCCTTCTTCCGGCTGCTTCTTTCTTCAGATTCAGATTCAGAGTCGGAGAATGAATCAGATCCAGATTCAGAGGTTGAACTATATCTGCGGTGCCTTCTCTTCCTCTGCTGCTTCTTTTTCTTCTTCCTCTTCCTCCTCCTCTCTTCCTCTGAATCTGTGGATGAACTGTAACTAGTCTCACTCTCACCAGAAGAATAATCAGACCCTGTCACAGATGATCCGCCACTATCAGACTCAAAAACTGAAGCCTCGCTATCGCTACCAGATTCTGTATCAGACTTGTGCTTCCTCTTGGTCTTCTTAACCTGTTTATCACTCTTCCCTTCCTTCTCAGTATCAGG